TTTTCATATTTAAAAATTAGAATTGATGATACATCAATTTCAAAGCAGCCAAATTTCACACTTTTAAATTTGTAGTTGCTCATAGATTTTATTTCTGAGATATTCTTAAATTTTGGATAGACAAATTTGTGGAGATAACGATTTCCATAATTTTGTAAACGTCAGATTAATCTTGTTTGAGACATGTTTTTTTTTTGAGACATGTTATTCCTCGCCTTCAACCACATCAGCAGGCGGAAGAGAGAGAGAAGCTGGGACGACAAAGAAGATGGAAGTAAATGAAATGAAAGATTTTAGGGTTTGGTTTGTAGAAGAGAAGAAGCTTACCGTCAAGATGAGGGGTGCCACCCAAACCAGAAGCTTGGCGATCTCTCCGACGATGGTGGGCGTTTTGCTCCCTAGACCCATGATGATGAAGAAAATGATGATAAAAAATCACAAATATTTGAGATTATAAAGAGGTAATAGCTTCTTTTCTTTTTACTTTTTTGCAAATGTGTCAATCTACTCATACATGGTTATGAGTTCCTTAATATATTTCCAATACTTTCGAATTTATAATCGTTTTCGCACTACCTGCAGTTTCTTAGTTTGGTATGTTTCGTTCTGCTTTACACTACATGCAGTGATTCCATTTTACACGAGGAGTTTGATTGTGAGAAAATGAGAAGCTACAGGGGTAATGTGCAAGAGAGGCCGGTCGTAACTATACCTCCTCGGAGATTTCTGCCGCCATTACTACCTCAGTCTGAGCTTGTCTTGCTCCACTTGTGGTACGACATACCTCTCGGAGAATCAATCTGACCTCTTGTTTGGTTCCGATTCCAGTCCCAGGTTTAGTGGTTGTTCATTACTTGTGATGTTTTCATGGTAAAAAAGAAGTTTACATTATTCTACTCCAAAATCAAAAGATTCAGAGCCAAATCAAAATGTCCCATAGAAGATGAGATGCACATGACACTGATTAGACCCCAAATATGAAGATGCAATCGATGGCTTAAAAATGAAACACATACACAAGAAAAAGCTACTGTTATAGACACACACACAGATACTTGTATTGGTTCGCTTATACAAGTGAAAACCAAAGTCACGTAGATGTAGGAGATAAATGCTCTGCAAAAATCCAATTAGTAATGCTAATAATTGATATTAAAGCTGCTAAATTTTAAGATTTTCATAAAGGGAATCTAATTAGCAGTGCCAATAACCATTTGTTTCAAGTCCAATACTTAGTCCAGGATTCTAAAAAACCATAACCATTTGTACATCTTAAAACTATTTGTATTGGTCTGAAAGTGTTTACTCAGCTTTGCTTATACGTGCTCCAAGGAATCAGTCCATCTCTCAAATCAAGAACATATTAGCAATTGCCAATAACTAATGATATTAAAAGCTGTTAACTTTCAAGTTTTACTTTTCATTCAGAGAATCCGCAGAACCTCCGGTAAGGACACAGAATTATTTCCTCTTATTCCTCTACCTCTTCACCAAAAAGCCATTGGACCTGTAGTCGAAGCAAACTTGCTGCAATAACTCGTATCTCTTTGTATGCTTCTTTTCTACTACTAGGTAAGTAAATCTACAGTCTACACAATGTGAGAATCAATATCTTTTATTTCATCATCCAAACCACATGATACACCACTACATGATTCATACAAGTCACAAGTCATGTTGGACACAACTACTTTTAGTTTAAAGAGTGTCCAACATGACTTGTGAAACTTTTTAGGGCATCTCCAAATCACCTTTATTCTATTTTTTCTCTAACCCACTTTTAATTTTAACTTCAAAACATGAAATGCAATTTTTTCTCTATATTTGAAGAAAGAATGTCTTTTATTTTCGTACTTCTACTCTAAATTAGAGGAAGAAATAGCATTTCTCTATAAATTGGAAAAAAAAAATAGAATAATGCTATTTTCTACTTAAAAATAAAGCAGAAAATAGGAAAATACATTAGAGATTGTTTTAAGTCATACCATCATTATTTTAGTAGAAAACCGTGGCAATAATTTTATGTATACATATATTCACACCAAAATGAATGAAAAAAAGGTAAACAATTTATTTTAGAAATTCGATTACAAATTATTTAATAAATGTTGTCTCCAAATTTTACATAAAATATCTATTGTCTTTTAAGTATTCCCAGGACCCCCAAAATGTATCATATATTTGACCCTAAATTGTGAATGTATGTCATCTATCACTTTATAAGCACGTGTGTTATCCGAGAATGTTTCTGTATTCTTTACCCAATCATCAATCTCAAACTTCTCATTGACTGTAGTTATATTAGAGATAGTTGCATCGTAAAAGGGTTGTTTAACTGGAAAAAAAACCATTTCCCATCTGAGGACTTGACATAAATGCATTATATACTTCTCCTCCCCACTCAATCTTGTTGGCAAAGTTTTGTTTAAATCTATTTGCTGGCCAAAACCCAATCTCTTCTTCCTCAAACGTAAGATACCAGTTCCCATTTGCCTTGTCCTTTGATCATAGTCACAACAAAACAAAACAAAAATTACTATTATTATGAAACAAGTCGTATATGTTTGTTTGATTTTTTTTAAACCTTATGTAACTTCCAAAATAAATAAAAATTGTTGAATTTTATGTGATTTATTGACTACATTCGTTTACTTTTTAAAAATATTTTGTATGTTCTATTTTTTTATTTGTGAGATAACAATTTGTCAAGTATAAATTGTTGAGTTATAATATAGATACTAAGTATACCAATCTCACAAATTAGTAAAGAAGAAAGAAATTAATAAGTAACAAACCTTGAATAAGATAAATGTATCAAAATAAAATGTGTCAGAACCACGAATAGTAACAGGTTGAACAAGAAGACCAAGAGGAATATCTGAACGAATAAATATGAATCCTGCTGGACACATGTTGTTATAACATTGTTTTTCACCTGCCTGTACCATTTTATACATTGTTATGCATAGCGTTTAAATATATAATACGTAGG